GGGTGGGATTATAGGATGAAAAAAGGGGCCCCTGGGAGGCCTATGGGGATCAGTCTTGACAGCTGGCGGTGCAATTGACTTCTTTCCCAGGACTCATAAAACTTGCTTCTGGCAGAAATCAATTTTAGAAAAAGCTATTATCTCGGTTTCCCCCTACCTTTACAGCTGGCATGCTTCTCTCTTCCTGAGATATAAGATGCTAGCAAAAAATGCCACAGATTTTCTTAAAGTAGAAAAAAGTTTTGTATGTTTAATTTTTTGAAAGTGCTTTAGTTTCTATTTTCCTTTAGAAGAAAACTGATTTTTCACTGGGATTTTCCCACAGGCCACATGCAGGTATATAGAAAAGAGAATGATGTGTGTTTGCATACAATTTGCATATATCTGTGTAGACTGGATCATCTAGTCTCAGAGTACTTTCTTTTTTTTCTTTATTTTTTCAAAGAAATTGAATACTTGATCAACTTTTGAATGAAAAGAATCAACAACAGTGAAAGGCAGTGCCATAGTGGAAGTCATCCTTCATAGAGAAGATTACCTCTTTAGAAGATTCCCCCATCCTCTTCCAGTCTTTTATAAGATTTTAGATGGTTGTGGTCACCATGATAAAAAACAGCAGCAGCCATCTGCATGCCAGGATAGCTGTCGTATATGCTTTTATGTCTCTCTTATTTTACTCACCAGCCCTTAGAAGTAGATGTCACTCTCAGTCTACCAACAGGAAAACAGACTTAGAGAGGCAGCACAGTTTGCCCAAGGTCACTCCTATGGGTGGTGGCAGAGCTGTGATTCAAACCCAAGACTGGCTATCTGGCCCCAAGGTCTTTGTTTTTAAACTCCTAAGCTGTGTTTTCTATCATTTGTGTATTGATTGATGTTTTGAGTTTTCTCCTTGACAATACTAGCCATAGATAGATATGTAGTTTGTCTGGCTGTCATTTGAATGGTAGTGGATTCTGTTGCACAATGTTGAGGTACCAACATTGTGTTTATGTAACTGTCTTTCTACTGGGTTTGTTTCCAGTTTCTCAATATTAAAGATAGTGCAGGTGTAAATATCTTCACGCAAATAAGGTGGTTTGTTGGAATTTTTAGGTATTTGATAGTGGTCTCCAAAGTAGTAATTTTGAGCCAAAGGGTTATCATTTTATGATTCTCCAGAAAGTCTATACCAGTAATTCACCCAAGCAGTGGTTATTTTTGGAGTGCCCACTGTGTACCAGGTGCTGGACATGAAGAGGTAATTCAGAAACAGCCCCTCTCTCAGAGAACTAAGTCTGGTGTGGGATAGATGATGCTATACAGAATGAATGTTACTAAAGTGGGGGTTGGGGCAAGGGGCAGTGAGAGCACTGAGAAACGTGTCCTCTGGTAGTATCTGTGAGTGTTCCTTTCCCTCTGCAGCACAGGGCAAGACAGGGGAGGAGCATGATGACTGCAGGGCTTCCCCGGCTGAAGCCTTGTCCCGGCTTTCCCCAGGGCTGGCTGCAGAGCTGCCTCCTGGCTGAGGACACCCCCTCCACACACACACACACACACACTTGCTTTGCTGACACTGCCACCTGGCTCACAGGGCGCGTCCCTGCTGCGCAGTTACCACTAGGGGGCGCCGAGCAGAAAGGATGGAGGGAGGGGACACCCGCGACAACAGACTGGGGGCTCCAGCAGTGGGAGGAGTAGCAGCCTAAACACCTGTCAGTCTGCCAGGTCCTCTCTTTCCGTGTAGGCCGGCCGCAGCCAGGGTGACAACATGCTGCCCAGTCCACACTCATTCGGCAGACAGGAATGTGTGCATGCCCTAAAGGCATAGCTCAGTGCATTTTCACACACCAAGTACCGTGCTAGACGCTAGGAATGCGGAAGCAGCCTGACATGGTCCTTGACCCTGAGATGCACTTGGTCTAGTGGGTCAGACAGACAAAGGAAGAGACAGACAGTCCAACTTGGTGTGCTGGAGGTCTTCACAAGTGGCAACAGGAGCATTGAACTCCCTATTGAGTCCCCTGGCGGTGTGTGAGAGTGCGTTTTTTCAGTGCTTCCCTGTTGACTTTGACTGTGACATTGCCCATATTCCAGGCTGGAATTTCTCCATCTATAAAATGGAGGGAATGATATCCATGTTTGCAAAGGTCCTTCAGACTCAGATGTGCCATGAGCCTAGAGCAAACCTGAGTTTCTCCCACAGAAGAGCACCCACCCTTGGTCCCCACTTTAGTCGCTGAAGAAAGCCTCCTTTCTCATCTCCCTTCCACATGCTCTCCTTAGATGATTTTCCCTGGCATTCTGCCTCTGGCCTTTTCCTTCTCTCTTAATACATATGTTCCCATGACTTCAGTTACTACTGTGTGCTGATGACACCTACATCAACATGCTTGCCACCATCCTCTTCACTGAGTTTGTGACTCATAATAATGAAAATAATCAGCATTTGCTAAATCCCAGATATAATACTGTAATTACGGTATATTATCTCATCTTTCCAGCAATATTGTGAATTGGGCAGTGCCACCCATTTTATAGGTGAGTAGAATTGAGTTCAAGAGATGCTGAGACTTTCGCCAGACCCCAAAGTTGATAAGTGATGGGACCAGGATTTACAAACTTCTACCTGTTGGAGCTTCACTGCCCATGCTTTCATCCATCACACTATATCCTGGAGTATAGGCAGCTGCCACAGACCTCAATTTCGTGTCTAAACTTGGCCTCGTTGTCTTCCTTCTGTTCAAATCTGCCTTTTCATCTCTTCTCCATTGCAATAAATGGCACCATCAACCCAGTGATAGCCAAGCCAGAACCCTGGGAGTCTTCCAGGATTCTTCCTCTCCCTTACCAACCCCTATCTCCCTAACAATCTTCTCCAATCTTCATCTACATCATGGTGATTTTTACCCCTCTCTCCTCCAAGCTTGCTACTGTTGCCTTCCAAAGCCATTCATCCTGTTCTCTCTTTGGGCCCCTGCAGCAGTCTTCTTACCGGCCTTCCTGCCTTGACTCTGTCTGCTTCGGTCCATCCCCTGTACACCAGCCAGGGCAATCTTTTGCAAACACACATGTGATCACCTCACCTTCCTACTTCAAAACTTCCACCGCTTTCTGTGACTCCATAGCAGAGCTCAAAGCTGGCCACCCATGGGCTGAAATCCATACAGAAGACATGTTTTGTTTGGTCCATTGAGTGTTCTTGAAACATTTTGAATTAGTCGTCAACATTGGAAAATCAGGAAATTTCACATAAAAATTAATGTATATTGGCCTCTCTTGCAAAATTGAAAAAAACAAAAACAAAAACTGGTAACTCTGGGTCCACATCCCTTCAGGACAGTGACTGGACGGAGCCGAGTAGTGGTTGCCCTCGTTAAAAGGGGTGTGGGCTTTTCAGTTTGACAGTCTCCAGCATCTCCCAGCATCTCTTAGGCCCCGGTCACACTCCTGCTTCCAATTATCTACCTGAGAGTTGGGGCATTTGAGCTCATGATCCTGGTGCATAGGACGAAGCCCAAAGCCCTCAGCATGGCTTCTAGTGTCCTATGTGTCCCAGCCTGGAGCAAACCAGCCCTGCCAACCTTTGAGTCTAGTACCTGCTACTGCCCCATCACACTCTCCCCTGTGGCCCCATGGAACTCTTATCCATAGTTCTCTGAATTGCCCTGCTCTTATCTGCCTCCATGCAGGCCTGTACTTTGGAATTCCTAGGCCCCTCCTTACGTCCTGTTTGTCCTGGATTTTGCACTACTGCTCGCTCTACCAAGAAACATTCTTCATCCCCCTGGCTGAGTTTTGTTTTCCCATAACAGGTGGCACAGAGCTCAGTCATCCCACCAGCTGCACTGTGTTGTAGTTGTTGACTGTGAGTCTGCGATTGCAGGGAGCCTGCCTTATCTTCCTATCCTCAAAGCTTTGCACAGGACTTGGAATACTCAAGGTGCCTCATAACTGTTGAATGAATGGATAAATCAGCGAAATACTGACTTGGGAAAATAATAGTCTAGGATGTGATGTCACCCCTAATTGCTTGGGGTGGGGGTTCTAGGTCCCTTTCATTCTTGAGCACCCTCTCCGAGTCCGAACCCAGAGAGATACCTACAACATCCTATAAAGCATGCCGCCGTTCTCCAAGCTCTAGAATATATTCAGGCCTACTGGGATGGTACTTTTTAGCAATGATAGAGGGAAAATACATCATTTTTCATAGCCCTGGGGGAAAGTTGGCAGATTCTTCAGTTATTTGAATAATAACGATGATAATGCCAGCATCTAACACTCGCTGAGCACTTACATTGTACCAGACCCTGAACTAAGAGCTCTCAATGTAGTTTTATTTATTCCTCCACCACTAAGAAGTAGGTAGGACTATTGTCCCCATTTTATAGGCAAGTAAATTGAGATATAAGGATTTTAAACAACTTTTCACATAGCACATAAGCGGTAGAGTCGAGATTTGAACTCAAATCTAACTTCAGAGTTGACATTCTCAACCACTACACCATACTTCCTCAATGACATTTCTCTTTAGAAACATGAGGAAATAATTGTGGGAATGAAGGCTATACATGTTATATATAACATGTATATATCTATACATGTTATATGTAACATATATACATGTTATATATGACGTTATATATAACGTGTGTATATATATATATACTATGTACAGTAAGATTGCAAATATTAATTTAAAAAAGAAAGAAAAAATCCTGAGGCATAGAGAAAATGGCCAAAAAGACAAACTCATGTGAAATTTTTCTTTAATGAATACATACCACTTTTATGATTAAAAAAAAGTCCTCCCTTTGTAATGACCCCAGAAACAGAGGGCAGGAAGGGGCTGGTTCGAGTACCCAGCTAATCAGTAGGGCTGTCTCTTGAGTAGTTGCCACTGATCAGTAGAAGGAACAGTCATCAGACAGCAGCTATGACCTCACTACCTGCACTCTCATGGTGCAAAGGAGAAGTGAGTCACTATACCTGCCATTTCACCATCTCCCTTCTTCCTCCAGGTGCTTACACTCCAGAGCCCCTCAGCAGTTTCCGGTGGGCTCTTCTCTCAACTGGCCTCATGTTCTTTTATCACTTCAGCGTCTTGCAGATCCTCGGCCTGGTAAGTTTGGTTATATCCCCTTCTATCCCCTCTGTTTGCAGTTCTTCATAAATCTTGATAATCCTGGTTGGCGCTGGCGTATCACTTTGTTTTGAAAATACAAGATGCTAAAGGCCAGGATGTCAGATTGTTGTGTCTGGGTTGCTGATTTATGATTCACATCCTTGGCCTCTCCAAAGAGTTTTCTGAGTCTTTTAGTAATGACTGTTTCTTTCATCCCTGGGGAGGCAAGGATGCCTTTCGCTCATGGCCACTTGGGTCAGAAACAGTGAGCTGCAGCTGGAAAGTGGTTTGCTGTGGAACCCATGGGGAGGCAGGACCCTAACCCTGGCCCTGGGCCTGGGGGAGTCTTCTGACCTTGGATCCATCCTGGGCCCATTCATAGGCCTTGAAGCCTGGGCTCTTCTCTGAGTTTCAGATCCAGTAGAAGTTCGGTGTTGGGGAAATCCTGTGGCATTCTGGGGTGTTTAGAACTTCCTGGAGCATGAAGAGTGGTTGGACTCAGTAGCTGAGTTATCCAGATCCCAAAATTGCTGAATACAAGAGTGTATATCAGTGGCAAAATGAGTAGGAAGAGCTCAGGGCTGGGGCTGGGGGTCAGGAGACCCAAGTTCAAGTCCTGGTTCTGCCACTGCTCTAAATGAGTCACCTCACCCTTGAGGGCAGAGAGTTCTCCACCTCTCTGTGACATGGTATAAAAGCCCCAACTTCCCTGAGAGGTGGTGAGGACATGTTTTTCATGTGAACAGGCTTGAAGGGCTTTGGAAGGCAGCTGCCACACCTGTCCTTGGGACAGGTGTGGCATGTCCGGTTTTGTGTGTAAGCGGCAATAATGGAGCATTAGCGATGTGGAGCCTTGTGTGACCTAGCATGACTAGGGCGTATGACCGATGTCCCCAACACCTTTGTAGAAGCAGTCACTTTCTCTTCCTCATTCTGGTGTATGGCGCTGCTCTGGTTTGCTGGGGGCTTAGTCTGAGCTCCTTGCCAAAATGTGATGCTTCCTGTGCTCTCAGAAGGAAGCTGTTTGATGTTCACACCCTTACCGCTCGCTGCTCTCCACTGGGATCCCTGATTCCAGAGGCATCAGTGTGCTCATGCCACCCTACATACCATGCTTAGGCCATGCCTCCTACAAGGAGGGCTCCCCTCACCCCATTCCTCAGCATAACCCCCCCATCCATCTTTCATGAGTCCATTCAGGTACCACTTCTGTCATGAAATCTTCTCTGAGGACTCAGCCCCCATATTGTATGCTCCTCAGACCTCCTCATGGAGTATAAAATTGGGTGAACCCTGTCTGGTTTGAGGTCAGATGTAGTAAACCTTTGACCACCCACACTTGATTGATTGCCAATTACGTGGAGGCAGGGATCACGCTGTGGGCTGTACTTTTAGCCTATAACACCTCTCTGGGGACTAGGCACATAGTAGATGTTCAGGAATGGCAACAGGCTCTGGGCCCAAACAGAAAGCAAGGCTGTAAGTGAAACTGAACAGCTTTTCCACAGGACAGCCCTTCCCCATCACCTCCAGAGGGCTCTAGCCTTGACTCACTCAGAAAACCAAGGGGAGAGAAGAAATCCCTTTATAAACAGGTGGGGATTGGTCAATCCCTCCTTGTCTAGTCCCCCATTAGGTAGAGATGGCTGAACTGGCAGAAGCCAGAGAAAGCCTAAGGATGGTGAACGCTTACTCTACCTCCCTTGTCCCTGCAGGTCACCGAAGTGAATTTGAACAACATGCTGTGTCCGGCCATCTCAGACCCATTCTACGGCCCCTGGTATCGCATCTGGGCCTCGGGACACCAGACTCTCATGACCATGACCCACGGGAAGCTGGTCATCCTGTTCTCATACATGGCTGGGCCCTTGTGTAAATATCTGCTGGATTTGCTCCGGCTTCCAGCCAAGAAAATAGACTGAAGGTGCTTGTTTTTTTTTGTTTTGTTTTTGTTTTGTTTTTTTCTCCCTGAGGAAGCAAGTCCCAACTTGACTTGGAGAACACCCAGTTCTTGATGAAATCATGGGAGAGGGCAGTAGGATATGTGGTGTATTTCTTTTTCCTCCTTTCTGTCCCTTTCTTCTACCACTCTTCCTTCCTCAGCTCTTCTCCCTAGGATGTCTCCTTGAGCCTGGCATGTAGTGCTGGGTGTTGGATTTTCCTCCTTCCCTTTGGCTCTTTCTCTCTGCTCCTAGTGGCCTTACATGGGGAGATCGCAGTCAGTGGCTCTTTCACTCTGCTTGTCGGTGCTTTAACAACAGCTGGTTGAGGAGAAAGGGAACAACAAGTAGTAGTTTTTTTTGGCATCAAAGCAATGAGATTGGGTTGCATTTCATTTCTCCACTGCCAGGGATCTCCAGGCTTATGCTGGCATCCCATTTCGTCTCCAGCACAGACCTTACGATAGGGGACTGAGGCCTTGTTTTTATACCAGCGGGAAGCCCAGAGTGGAGGGATTTCCCAGCTCATGGTCAAGACAGAACCAGCCAGATTCTTCTGATTCGTGTCCCATGACTCAAAGCAAGCAGCCAACCAGCCACCAGGATGCTGCCTGGGATGGGAGGGGAGGGCACCACCCAGCCCAAGGGCTAGATTCCATTGAGAGAGTTGGAGATCTATTGCAATGACAAATCCAAAATGAAGAGGGTCAAGATATATACAGTACTAGGCAGCACCCTGTGTAAATTCTGCCTGTGAGAGCCGAGAACTGATGCGCATCCCAATCAGAAGTGAGCATAGAAAACTGTGATTTGAATCATATACTCCATTTTAGGTAAATGTTGATAATAGATACCATTTTAATCTTGAGTGCCCCTTTAATGTGTTCTCTCTCCCTGCCTCACCGCTCCCTCCCTTCCACCCCTACGTGTGCCCCCCACCCCCACCCCCACCCCACCCCACCCCCGCCAGGCAGCTTCAGGGAATAATGAGCTGGAATTGGCTGGTTGGTTGTTTTTTTGAGCTTGGAGAATCCTTGCATCAGGGCCCACTTCTGGAAGACCGTGTAGATCCATTTCTTGGCTTTACAGGGAATGCCAGCATCCTGGGTCCGAGGAGCTATAGCTGTTGCCAGTGTTCTTTCCCTAGGGCCAGATTTCTTCAGCGTAGTCAGACTCAGTGTTGAATTGTTTAATATGGGTGACATCACATCCTCTTCATCCTTTCTACCCCAAAATCCCATGTCTAGGTTGAAAGGGGGCTGCCAAGGAATTAGGTCCTCATGAGCGGAGGTTCAGGTGCTCCACAAAGAGGAGCTTTTGTTGAAGGACTTCAGCTCAGTTATGCACAGACCTCAAGAAGGCAGGCAGTGGCTGGACATTGCTGACTCTGCGTTGACTTCCACTAGGAACAGATTTGCTTAAGAACAGAAAAGATCATTTGGTGACTTTGCCTGATGAGCTTCCCTTCCCCTCTCCCACTCTAGGCAACACAGTTGACCTAGGCCAGTTCAAGTATTTCCAGTTTGACTGTGGTAGACCTACGTTGAGCTTCAGTGCTTCAGTGGTCGTAACTGTAGCAAATGGACCTACAGGAAGCAACCCTGGGAGGGACCGTCCTTCTGCAGAGGCCTGCGGGCATAGAGGCTGTCAGTCCTCAGGGCTTGGGGAGCAGAAGGGGAGAACACCAAGTGCTCTTACTACCCTGAGCTCCTTTTGATGTGTAAGCTTTGTTTTCGGCCCTCTTTGAGGGCAGGGCCAAGCTTTTCTAAGTGCCTCTCACCCTAGGGTTGCCCTTTAGGAGAGGTATCTCTTGAATGGCTGGATTGGCCCTGCCCATTATGAAACTGCTATATGTAGGAATGGCAGATGAGGAAACATACAAGGCCTCAGTGCCCCATGGCCTCTTTACAAAAGGAGAAGTTGGAAGGGGGTTGTGGGAGGAGCCCCTGGGGGCCTAGCCTGTCCTCCACCAGAACTTGGAGTTGCTGCCAGCAGAGGACCTGTGCCTCAGCTGAGGACTAGCTTTGGAATGTCAGGCGGTGTGACTGTGTAGGCCCTCTCCTCGTCCTCGTTTCTGTGGCATGGCACAGGTTGCCCAGTAGCTTGAGCTTGCCCCATGTTGACATGCCTCCACAAGCTTACATTTGCTCTGGCTACAGCTCAGTGCCCCATTCTGGAGGGCACTTTCTGGTGCTTGGAAGGAGAGAAGAAAGCAAAGGCCACATGCCTGGTATGGCCAAGCCAGAGACAGGTCCACCTGTCAGGGGAAGGAAGAAGTGAAGGGGACATGCAGGGCTTTGGGGGCCAGATTGGCTCAGAAACATGTAGGTTGAAAGAACAGAGGTGGCCCAGTCAATAGGTTTCACAGGGAGCCATGGCCTGTATTTGGGGCATTGGGGAGCAGCAGGCATCTGAACTGGTCTGAATCTCACTCTTTTCTTGGGCCAAGCCAACGTGGAGAGAAGGAACCCAACCAGACCCCTGACAACCTGCCTTACAGGGTAGCGCATATATCTGCCCAATGCCAACCCTCTGCTGCTCCAGCTTTGGTACAAGAGTGAGGGAGAAGCTGGCACTTGCCCACCCAGTGGCCAGTGGGCCTGTCTTCCCAGCTCCTCCTCAGGGCTTTGCTGTCAGTGCCAAGCCGGTTCCCCAGCCAGATTTCCATGTGCCATTTGCCAGCGTGTGGGAGCTCTGCGCATGTATGAGGGTGTTTGTAAAAGAGGGCAGTTTACTTTCAAATGGCCTCAGAAAGGGAAAAGAGTGCTCCCTCCAGCCCCCAGGTAGCCTTGACCAGGGATGTGGGCCAAGGAGTACAGTCTGTGGAGCTGGCCAACTTGTGGCATCCACTCGGAATAACAGAGACCCAGTCACGCCTACTTCGGGTCCTCCCAGCCCTCAGTATTTGCTTTTGTTCACCAAAGATGATCTGACCCACCTTCCTCCCAGAGGCACAACAGTAACATATTCCTCTGTCAGCCTGTGAGGGCATGTGGGGTTCTGAAGCCACGGACTCAGTCTCCCCAAGTCAGCAATCTCTTTCTCTGTCTCTCTCCTCGAACTTCATCGCATTTGTAGAAGCTACTTGCAGGGTCGCTGGGCTAACCAGGGCGATCGGCGAACTTTACTGTACAGTACCTCAGTCTAGCTGTCAGATCATCCCTTTTGCTGTAGCCTATGTTGGGGTTTTTATATTTGTGATCATTGGTAATTCAGTGTCTTATGAAGTGGGCACAGCTCCCCACAGAGTGCAAGTTGTCAGCACGTCTCTGTGCACTGGTTGTTGCGCAGGGCAGTACCCTGTGGATGAGCTAGGTGGCTCAGGGGGCAGCAGAAGGGCCCTTTTCCCTGCTCCCTCTGCCACAAATACTTCCCTGGATTTGTAGACGTTGACCCAGAGTCATCTGTCCCCTCCTGAAAAGGATTTTCTTACTGGTTTCGACTGAAGGGGAAGTAGGGGAGGAGGAAAAAAGGACCATGTGTGATGCTCTCAGAGAAGACACTGATGCTGATTATGGAGGGTTTCCTGCAGGTCCTCGTGGGCTCCTGGGCAAGACCCCAGGCTGGGAAGGGGTTCCCCCCACTGACCATCCTGCCTGCTCTGTGCTGGGTAGAGTCAGTGACAGGGAGGCAGCCCTCTTCTTATGTATATAGAGTGAGCTGATTTGGGCTCAGGAAAACCTAGTCACTTGTTGCTCTCTTCTGTGACATTTTTGTACACTGGTTTGCTACTCACGGCAAGAAACAGACAAAACCCCATGAAAAACAAAACAAAACAAAAGCCATTTCAAAAAAAAGCTGTTGTTTTGAAAACTCTTGCTTTCTTTTGGTGTCAATTTTGTGTTTCGTTTTAAAGAATCCTTCATTTATATTGGTGTTACTGTAGTGAAGAGAATATGATAGGCTGATCTGTAATGGTTTCTGCCAGGAGCTTAGCAAATGCCTCTGACCCTCTTCCCCTACCCCTATCCTTCCTCGATTTCCAGCTGGGATTGCTATGCACTGGGCAGACCCCTCACCGTCTCCCCTGAAACCCCACACAGTGGCTGTCTTTAGAACCAGTCTTTGTACTCTCCCTCAACAGCAGCAGGGTAAGGCTGGTTCTTGCGTGCTCTGTGACCCCACCAGTTTGCACACCTCTTGGGGCGTTTTGTAATGTGTTTTCTCTGTTTTGTAAAATCTTTTGATTGTACTGAAATGGTTTCTGCAGTTGCCTTTGGAAATAAATGGTCATTAATTTGTTTACTTAGCATTCTGCATTTTAGTCTCAAGTGTTTCTGTTGCTAGAGATCCTTGAATGAAAAGGAACCCTCACCATGGGACTTACTGCTATGTTTTCTTCATTTACTGTTAATTAGAAGATTTATGAGACCCAGGAGTCCTGGCCTTGCTTCCCAGAACCCTCTCAGAAGGCCCTCTGCTTTGAAAAGAAGACAAAAGGGGCCATTGGCCCTCCGTACTGTGGAAGACCCTCAAAGGACAGCTGGGCTCTCAGCGCAGCTTTGTCCTGGTAGCTGTGTGGCTGGTTGGCCTTGAATTCCCACACATTGCCTACTTCTGCCAGGGACCCATCAGACTATTTGCTCTTAGCAGGGCTTGTCTGCCAGGCCCATTTGCTGGGCTCTCTGGGACCCAAAGCACACTGGGCAAGCCTGGATGACTGAGCTGGAGAAGGCAAACACATTCAGGCCCAGTCAACCCAAATTTCCTGAGGGCCAGCTCTGTACCAGCACTTCTCAGCACAGGCCTGCACCCAGCAGGGGCCGGACCATGAACAAGCTAGCCTACCCTTTGGAAACAGACCTGCTTTTCCAAGGCTACCTGCTGAGCAGCCCATGATGACTGTGATTGTCCCTTTTTACACAGGACAGAGGCCCTATTCAGGCTTTCGCCAGGGCTGCTGTTTCTAGAGGGGACACAGCTAGACAGACCTGGCCGCCACTGCAGGTGCATTTCCTCATTTGCCAGTGGTTGGGCACCCAGGCTATGAATGAGGCAGGGCCCTGCAATCGTGAACTAGATTAGCAGTCTAGAAAAGTCCCTTCTCTTGCTGCCTCACGTTCTTTATCAGCAAAGTAGTAGCTCCAACTGCAGG